CTTCTTCCCTTTATCCAAATCAGGCTTTAACATGCATGGATTGCATCATTTCCTATCCAAAGCCAACATTGTTCCCTAAAGTTGAAAGATAAACACAAAAAGGATTAAAAGCATAAGTTTAACTCAAAAACATAACCAAATCATAAGCTAGAATGGTACAAAATGATATACAATTATGAACCGATCAAATACCCCCAAACCTGGGCTTCTCTTAATCAAATTAGGACTTTAAGCACTCGAAATTGAAGTTCGGAATGTCTTCTTTCCAGCCATATGTTATTTGGGCCAATCCAAGGTCGGAGGAAGAAGTTAAGGCCGAAACAAATTGCTAACTCATTTTCCGCGCTGATAAGATCCATCCTGAGCATGGTTCTGTGTTTGCTAGGTAACGGACTCCAGATTTATCCAATGGGGCTGAATTTTGGATATGTTATAGTACACACCAATTGGAACAACTTTCATGAAGAATGTGGCCTCATTCGAGCTATGTAGGTTGTTGAAACAAAGCTTGAAATATGACCTACAGAACTGGACTGGCAGGGGGCTGTAGCCAAAATGAGTTTGTCTTTAAGCTCTTCTTCCCTTCATCCAAATTAGGCCTTAACATGCTTGAATTGCATGAATTATGCTCTCTTGCTCTATTTGCCTACAAAACACACAAAGGGAGGCAAATAACTTAGAAATCTAAGAAACTAAGCAAAAGAAGTAAGTAAATAGGGCATGTATATGTATGAAATTATGAGCTTAACAGTACCGATGGAGCAACTGTTAGGCGTGGATTACTTGCCGCCCAACAAGATGACCTATCGGGAGCTGGCCAAGATCCGAGCAGAATACATGATCCCTGATTCGGTAGGGATGAGGATCCCAGGCCCTACCGAGTCTCTGAGTGACCCCAAGGATGGAGAGGTTGCGTTCTTCACGGCTATCCTGACCGTTCGACTGAGGATGAGCTGTAGAGGCGAAGAATAGGTTGATTTTGAGGCGAGTGCAGAACTGCCTGAAGAGCTTCGAATCAAACTGTCTGCCGTTATCAGTGATGATGGCGTGGGGGATGCCGAAGCGGCAACAGATGTTGGTACAGACAAATTCCTCGATTCTTGCTATCGTAATGGTGGCCAAAGCTTCGGCCTCAACCCATTTTGTGAAATAGTCCACGGCAACGACTGCATACTTAACCTGTCCCTTGCCTTGCGGCATTGGCCCTATTAGGTCAAGTCCCCACTGGGTGAATGGCCAAGGACTTACGATCGGCGTAAGGGGTTCGGCAGGTAGGTGCGGAATATTGCCGAACCGCTGACATTTGTCGCACCTCTTTACCATCGCAATTGCATCCCGATGCATGGACGACCAATAGTAGCCCTGCCGGAAGGCTTTGTGGGTTAGGGATCTGGAGCCGGAATGATCGCCGCAGAGTCCACTGTGGATTTCCCGAAGGACATACTTGCCCTGCTCTTCGGTGATGCATTTCATGTAGGGGGGTCGTGTAGCCGCGTTTGTACAGAATGTTATTGATGACAATGTACCTTGCAGATCGGTAACGCAGCCCCCTTGCTTGTGCCTTATCTTCCGGGAGGGTACCGTTTGTTAAATACGTGTATATCGACGACATCCAGGTGTCCTCATACCGAACGGTACATATATCAACGGTCGTAGTGCTTGGCTGAGCTAAGATCTCGACGGGGACCTTTCGGCCAATCTTGTCGTTAATAGCCGATGCCAGTCTGGCTAATGCGTCGGCATGGCTGTTCTCTGACCTGGGAACTTGCCGAATTTCGTAGGCCTGGAACTGCTGAAGTAGTAGATGTGCCGACGACAAGTATGCCGTCATAGACTCGTCATTTGCCAAGAAATCGGCAGTGACCTGGTTGATGATGAGTTGTGAATCGCTGTGGATGCTGACCTGCTTAGCCCCCATGCTCTTAGCTAGCCGAAGGCTTGCTAAGAGGGCTTCGTATTCTGCTTTGTTATTGGACGTTCGGAAGCTACACCGGATGGCATATTCCATCTTGGTTCCATCGGGAGCGGTGAGTACCAAGCCAGCTCCGCACCCTTGTTGGTTTGCCGAGCCGTCCACGTGCAGGACCCAGACATGAATTGACTGGTCGAATTGGCTGCCGTTCGGCAGGCTTACCAGTGGAGGGGGGTTCCCAAGTTCCACCGCTTCTGAAGGCGTTAGTTCGGAGATGAAGTCTGCTACGGCCTGTCCTTTCTCGGCATGTCTAAGTTTGAACTGCACATCGAACTCTCCCAACTCGATCGCCCATTTTACCAGCCTACCGAACGTTTCAGGCTTTTAAAATACCTGCCGAAGGGGGTGGTTGGTTAGGACGGTGATGGTATGGGCCTGAAAATAAGGTCGCAACCTTCGGGCAGAAACGACCAGAGCCAAAGCCAGCTGCTCGAGTGGGGGGTATCGAGATTCTACCCCTTGTAGGGCTTTGCTGACGTAGAAAATCGGTAGTTCTGCCTTCTCTAGTATCCGTATTAATACTGAGCTGACGGTAGTGTTGAATACCGATAGATATAGAGAGAGAATTTCCCCAGGAATGGGTTTAGACAGTAGCGGGGCTCTGCCCATATAGTCCTTCAAGTCTTGAAACGCCTTATCGCATTCGGCAGTCCACTCTATATGGTGTTTGCCCCCTTTCAAGGCTTTGAAGAACGGTGCACACTTGTCCGTGGCTTTGGAGATGAAACGAGTGAGGGCTGCCACTCGTCCGGTGAGGCTCTGGACGTCCTTTTGTGTCTTCAGCACCTCCATGTTGATTATGGCTTTGATTTTGTCGGGGTTTGCCTCGATACCCCTCTGGCTGATCATAAAACCGAGGAATCTCCCAGAAGATACGCCGAAGGCACACTTAGTTGGGTTGAGTCTCATTCAGTAGGCCTTCAAGATGCCGAACATGAGGGATAGGTTCTCCAAATGTTCCCCTTCCGTTCGGCTCTTTACCAGCATGTCGTCTACATACACCTCCATCGTGTTGCCGATCTGCTCAGCAAAGATTCGGTTGACCAGCCTCTGGTAGGTTGCTCCTGCATTCTTCAGGCCGAACGGCATGATGTTATAACAGTATAGCCCCTTGTCCGTTATGAACGCCTGTCTGCCGCGCAAATCTCACGGCCTGGAGTTCCGGGCCGAGGGGACGTGCGTTAACACGGGGTTTCCTGCTTTTGGGTGCGGTACGGTTGTGCGCGGGCGTGCCAGCATGGTTTACCGTGCGTTGATGTTTTGATGAGCGTTGGATGGGTGAATGGTGCGCCTGTTTGATCTGTCTTCTTGGTCAAACGATTGTAGCCGAGAGAGGAACTGGTCTCGGCTGTTAGGTTCACCGCCTGAACTACAAGACCGTTGAGTAATGGTGTTGGTGGTGGTTTTTGGGCGGTGCTCCGGCGCGCTGATGAGTAATCGAGGCTGAATTTACGCATAGTGGAGTCTGATTAGCGCAAGTGGGCAATCCAATCGACATTTGGGATCGTGAAGTATGGTGATGAGACCCCAGAAATCCTGGTGAATCTCGGCCGCCGCGTTTAATCGTGGGTTCTGAACCTCTGGCCGTGGAGACGCATTTATTGCCTAGATAGCTGGTGAACCAACATCTCAAGCTGTCAGAATCTTCGTGAGAATGTCCACGTCTAATCACTCTGATCTTCATCACCAAATCCTGACTTCAGTCACTTCCCACCTTCCCTCATGCATTAAATGCTACTTTGTGGCCAATGGGTCTGCTGCATTAAACAGGCACTACTTCATTAAATGAAGCCTGGGACCCTGCTGTCACGTGATGATTTGCCTTTAATGCCTTGGCCGCAAATTTGTTCGGCCTCGGCCTCGGCCTATGCTTGAGGCCGAGATGATCCTGCCTTAGCATTTCTTTCTTTTATTTTCAAGAAGGCGAAGTACCCTGGCGAAACGCTGCGTTTCAGCCTCTGCAAACAAGTGCCAGGGCCGAGATAAAGGGTTCCCTCGGCCAGCTCGTGGCCGTGATTTATCAGGCACAAACAACGCCGTATGCTCGCTGTTGGCAGAGTTCAAGAAGATCTGGTTGTATCCAGAGTATGATCATGGCTCGGATGATCATGGGATCGTCATGTGGGTAGATGATCCCCTCTTCTTCCTCGGAGAAGGTGATGGGTTCCCACCGGACCTTGGTCATCTTGGTGTGCCGGCTGCTTTCAATGCTGAGGACCTGAGGGTACTGCGCCGCCCTGACATACTGTTTCCTTGACCGGTTAGACGCCCCGGCGAGGGTCGGGCCTCCACTGATCGTGTTGATCATATTGATTTGCCGATTAGCGTTCGACGCCGGCGCCTGTTGTGGCCTGGCTATATACTGATCCAGTTTGCCTTCCCGAATGAGCCGCTCGATAATTTTTCGCAAACTTATATAGTCCTCGGTATTGTGGCTGTTCTGCTGGTGGTATCAGCAAAATTTTCCTGTATCCCGGTCGTCCTGCCGATTAGGCTTCCGGAAGGTTGGCTTCGGGATGATCTCATTTTCGTTCATCAGCACTGCTTCGTAGGAGGTGTTGAGCAGGGTGAACACCTCCGTTCCCTGGTTATGAGCTGGTAGTGGCGATCAGTAGTTGTCCCTACTGTACCTGTTCTTATTTTTCTTGGAATGCCCCTCAGGGTATCCGGCAGGTTGCGCTGTTGACGCGAATGGCGAAGCCTGTGCCGTTGCGGATCGTTGTATAGGGTCGCTCGGCGGAGCCGTGGGCTCGGCCCTCGAATTGAAGTATTCGGTTTTGGGTGGATTGCCGCTTGCTTCATGAGTTCATCATACGTACGCCAATTGTTGCTGTGTACCAGATACCGAAAGTGTGAGCACCGTAGGCCACTCTTGAAGGCGCCGTAGGCTGCCCTATCATCGGTATCCGAACATCTCGACTACTCATGGCTGAATAGTGCGCATTATTCACGCAACGGCTCATCATCTCTCTGCCGAATGGTGTACAGGTCATCGGCAGAATGCAGTCTGTCTGTTTGAATCATAAAATGATTCAAGAAGATCTGTTTCAGCTCATCGAAGGAATCAACTATTCCTGGTTCCAAATGGTAGAACCAATTCAGAGCCGCCTCCGTGAGCGAAGAGGGGAATAGCATGCACTGTCCTTCGTCACTCAGCCCGAGGCACCCCACGGCCGATTGGAAGGAGTGAAGGTGCGTCAGAGGGTCCTCCACGCCTGTGTAAGCGGATATGCGCAGGGTCTGCACATCTCTATCCTGCCGTGAGCGCCTTATGCGCTCGATGAAAGGTCCTAGCCGAAGCCTTCCCCAGTCAGGCTCCTGTGAACGAGTCCTCTCGTCCTCCATTTCCTGTACCCTCTGAAGGAGGAGGCAAATGACAGGGTCCCTCAGAAAACTTTGTTGGCGTTGCTGGGACCTGACAGGGTTAACCTCAGAGAACTTTGTTGGCGTTGCCGAACGGTAGGACGATGACCGATTCGTGGAAGGGGCGTACTCTTGGTCAAACTCTGCCGATGATTCCAAAATTGGTATCCTTCGTATCGGCGACCTCCTTCCCAGACTTCTCAGCCGTGGATCGTCTAGGCGCGCTTTTTTCCTGATCGGCGATCCCTGCCGTTCAGTTTGCCGTTCGGCCGCCCGATCCAATAGCCTATGGCGACAATCGGAATAGACCTTCTTCGGCACATGGGGCTTATTTTTCGGTGCCGGGACTACCAACGGTTTAGACAGTGCAGGCGTTGCCTCGGCCACCCTTTTACCCTTCTTCTGCCGATGGGGGGCCTGTAAACTCTGAGACGATCGGTCGGTCTAAATATTTTGCGTTTGCTGCTGGTTAAGCAACTGCTGTGTTTCGTCTACTCTGGACGAGAGGAAATTGTTGTGTTCTTGTAACCTGGCCATGTCCTGTCGAAGGGACACGACTTGGGCTAAAAGCTCCGCATTTTCAGTGGTTTGGAGCACAGGGGAGTTAGTTGCCGGCGTGTATGGGGGTGGTGCAGGACTAACCCCGCTTGGCATACCGAACGGCATTCCCTCCTGTGGTACAAACGTGGTTTTTGCAGTGGTCCCCATATGTTCGGGATGAAGGGTCGATTTGTTTATCGTTTCCCACATACGGTGCCAAACTGTAAAAACTGGTTCACAAGCTTTAAGGGTCAACTTAGTAATTTTGTAATTTTATACCCTCGGTATCCCTAGATCTTCGGTAGGGACCGCGATCTGCAAAATGAGAAAACGCTATGTAAGACCCAAGGCACCGGTGTGGTACCTGCAGAAGGCTCTCCGATGCTTAAGTAAGTTCGGGATTAGAAAGTTCAACTGACAAATCAATAGGCTTGTATGCCGTAAGTTCTGATTACCTCTGTTTTGGGGTAGTTGGCCTCTTTTATAGGCCTTGGGAGGTGTGCACTTTGTTGATAATTTCGATGTGGGACTGTGGACGTCGCTTGGGAGCATGCCACGTGTCCCAGAAGAGTGTGTTGTCCTAATGGAGCGATCGGTAGGTAGGGTGCTGAGGGCGTCCTTGACCAGGCTCGATTTCCTCCACGTGTCTCGTTCTCATTGGCTGTTCATTTTGGGTATAAACATGTTTTGATATACCGTGTCAAAATTTCATAGAGACATACCATGAGTCACTACTAATGGGTCCAGTACTGATTATATCTCCAACTTAATCACATGTTAACTCGGGGATCAGGTAAGTGAAGAAAAAGGGAAAAAAAAAAAAAGTATTATGTTCTTTTACCAAAGTAATATTATATTGTGCAGAATCCTATAAAGAAAAAAAATATTTGGCACAAAAATATTCAATAAATGAAAACACATTTTGGTTTGGAAAAAAAAAACATGTTTTGGGGCAACCTGTTGTTCACCTTCTCGCAGGGTTGCCTAGTATTTTTATGTGTTTAACGAAGACAAATGTGGCTACAGCCTACATGACAAATCACATAATTGTAACCTAGTAGCTAGTACAATATTCTCTTACTACATGACAAAAACTAGTTTTGAATGCCTTAATTTAAATTATAAGCGCCGAATTTGTATAGATATCAAGAATTCCTTGTGACTATTTGTAGCAGTAAAATAAATAAAAAAAGTTTAGCGTGTAGGTAATTTCGTATAGTAAATAATTGTGGAGCCCACATTTCATTAAAAAAAATTACCAAGCCCTTTGTGCGTAATCCAAATTTTCTATAAATATAAGAGTACACGAGATTTTTACTTGGAAAACCCCCAACGGTAGCTTGGGCTCAGTAAATTGAGCACAATATGTGAAGGGGAATGCTAGCAACCTTCTCTCTAACCTTCTCCTTTGGGCCTTCTTCATTTTCTTCATGACATGTGGCACTTTATTTTCTTTCAAAACAATACCATTAATGCATCACACAAGCTACATTTTGCTTTCCAAATTTAACCTTATTAAATATATTATCTTTTGTGTATTGTTTTTTTATTATTATTATTTTCAAAAACCAATTAATAAAGAATATCGAATCGTTTAACAAGCACCTAATTTCATTTTTTTAAAGATCAGTTTTAAGAAATTGAATAATTAACACATTAAGAAGGAAATATGAAAAAAAATCGAAAAAACAACCCATAACCCAACCACAGGGGACGGGAAGAAGAAGTGGGTGGCGGGGATCGACGCCGCAGTGGTGGGGGAAGATCGACGTGGGTGGGAGTCGTCTTCGTTGTGAAGATCAATGGGGTTGCTGTTGGAGATCAATGTGATGTGTGGAGGGGAGGGCGAAAATCGAGGCGAGGTGGTTACGGCTCATTACGCAGCCAAGGAAATCAACGGCGGGGGAAGGGTTGTTGGCTAGAGAGAGAGAGAGAGAGAAAAGGAAAGGGAGAGTAGTGGCAGTGGATGGCTGGGTTGGATTGGCAAGGATAGGGGAGAGAGAATGGTGTGGTGGCTGCTATAAGCGAGGGTAGGGAGCGAGGGCTGCTAGGTCAAAAAAAACAAAAAATTCTATTAGGCCTTCTCCAACCCATGAGGGGCTAAACCCAAAAAGTAACTATTTGGGTTTTGCCCGGACTCAAATCGTTTTTTCTCCCAACCCTCCGGACTCAAATTTTAAGTCCACAATTTTATTAAATTGTTTAAGAATGGTTTAAGTCTTTTTTTTTTTTTTAATGGATAAATTTTCTTCATTCAATCTTTTTAAATAACTTCATAATTAAATTTTTTGAACAATTTGACCTAAAAAAATTGAAATCCCACAAATATAATTTGACCTAGATTAATTTAAAATATTGTTTTGACCATTGGATTTAAGTTTCAGACGTTGGAATTTTTTTTTTTAACCATTAAAATAGTTTAGATTTAATCTAGATCGTTGATTTAAGTTACATTTAGAATATTAAAAAAAAAAAAACCAAATAGCAACAGCAGCTTGACAAGTGGCGGGACAAGCAAACAAATTTGAACAGCACAGCAGGTCAGCTGGGGCCCACGTCAGATTCTGTGCACATAGGTCTGTTTTAGGTGCAGTGGGCTCCATTGAATAGTGTTGGGTCCAGGCAATACTTGGACCCATATTTGGGTTTTCCCAAATTTTGGGTCCTTCATTTTCTTGGGTTGGGAGAGAATTTGGGCAATATTTTGGATTTAAGTCCTTGGGTTGGAGATGGCCTTAGTATTAATGTCTAGTCTTATTTTTCTATTTGTTAAAAAAATGGATTAATTGAAGGATACATTTAATAAGGGTAAATTGGGAAACAAAAGTTAATTTTACTAATGCATTAATTACATTATTTTAAGTGTAAGTAAAGTGCCACATGTCATGAGAATAAGGGAGAAGGTTGTTGTTAATATTATGTTAACTCGCAATTGTACGGGGCAATTAGTAGTATAGCAAGACAAGTACGAGGTCGTACCCACGAAGACTGAGAAGTTAAAACTAGTTATGTACTTAGATTACCAAATTCAAGAAAGTAGGAGGTTATGTCTAAAACAGAATTTAAAACAAGAGTGGTTGTGATTGTTGAACAAAAGAAGCAAAATGAAATTGCAAACAAAAACAAGTAAACAAATGTAACAAAGAGTGGTTTTAAGAGTTGGAAAACAGATTTTGAGACTAGGGCATTCGAATCACCATAACAATTCAATTCTGGGTTATAAAGATTCAAGTAACAAGTCTAATTCAGATTCAAAGATTGATTCTAGCTAAAGTATGATTAGGCCATGGTGTTTGGTCCTAACCTTGTGTTCCTAATTCCCTAATTTGATCATTCGTTGTCTAACCTAAAATTAAGCATTAGGAACCCATTAAACATAGAAGAACAATTTAAACAACCAAGCATGTATCTAATCCCTGTTGTCGAATGTCCATACATACTATTCCTATTCATAGTTCAATTCGAATTAAAGCATGGTGGATACTCTTAATTCAAACCAAGATAGTTAACAAACAAGTTCTAATGGTGATCAATCATCCAAACAAGCATGTTAACTTATAAGCATAATGAATAAGAACATGAATCATGAATCAAACTTGAAACTCCAAACTTATAAACCCACAATATTCATGTTAGGTTACATCGAAGCCCTAGCTATGGATTTAGCTACTCATAATGGAAAAGAAACTAAAACAAAAATGGGAAAACATAATGAATGCCATAAGAGCAGAAAAACCCTTTTCTAAAGTTCTTGTGGTGTCCAATGCTTCTCCAAGAGCTTCTCCACGTCTAGAAGGATGTATGAAGGATATGGAGGGGATTTGAGATGAGCTTGAGTGAGTGGTGATGGATGAGAAAGAGGAAATTCGTAGGGAAATGGAAGGGAGGTTTTCTGGAGCTGTTTTGGTGATCTTGGGGCAGTTTAGAGTATTGGGTTGATTGCTTGAGTGTTTGGGGTTGTGAGAATGTATGAGGATGATTTCTGGATGATGGAAGTATGGAGGATGGCTGAAGTGAATTTTGTAGCTTGAAGACTCCTCTATTTATAGGGCTAAGAGGGAGGAACATCATGATGGATTTCCACACCATCCTTCATCTTTTGCTGCTGCACCTCAAGCATCTTCACATGGGTTCAAAGGTGATCAGTTGTGGCTGCCTTTGCTGCCAACCCATGTGGTTGCCTTTTGCTGCCAACTGTTGCGTAGATTTAGCTCCACCAAAATGGATTAAGCTGCATCCTCAACTTGTGATACTCGCAAGTGCAAGAGCCGTTGGTAGTTTAGCGTATGTAAGTGCGAGGTCGATTCCACAGGGATTGGTGATTGAATGATCCAATTTAGTTTCCCTACACAAAATAGAAACAAAAACAAAGAACATAAAACAAGGAAGAAAGAAATAAGTAACTCAAGCAAATAAGTTCCCAAGTTCAATTAGATTAATGGATTGATTCTAGCTAAAGTATGATTAAGCCATGGTGTGTGGTCATAACCTTGTGTTCCTAATTCCCTAATTTGATCATTTGTTGTCTAACCTAAAATTAAGCATTAGCAACCCATTAAGCATAGAAGAACATTTTAAACAACCAAGTATGTATCTAATCCCTGTTGTCGAATGTCCATACATACTCTTCCTATCCATAGTTCAATTCGAATTAAAGCATGGTGTCTACTCTCAATTCAAACCAAGATAGCTAACATGCAAGCCTAAATGGCGATCAATCATTCAAACTAGCATATTAACTTATAAGCATAACGAATAAGAACAAAAACCATAATTGAAACTTGAA